TCACCCCAAACACCAGCCAATGTCAGAACTTCTCATTTTATCTAACCTCACAGCACCTCCTCTGGAGGACATTTCTCATTTTCCTTAAGAGATACAACCTTCCTGTGTGCTCTAACTTCCACACTGAAGTCTCAATCTATTAGCACCCACTACATTATTTTATAATTTTGACTTATCTGATTCCTCCCCCCCGCCCCCCGCCCCAGCATAAACATGTATCTAGTAACATTTGCTTTGTTCGGTGGAAGAGTTATTCATTACCTGAATACTCTTCAAATCTTTTTATTCCTAGTCACACACACACAAAGGCACCTGGGTATGCCTCTTCTAAGCCACGAGTTTGAAGTACAGCTTGTAAAGTGTGTTGTTGGATAACACTTTGCTGCTCCTGCAGGGAGCTTACGGTTTATTGAGTCACTCCTACAACAGTGCAAGTGAGACACAACTACTAAGCCTATATTGCTTTTCTCTTCCTTTTTTGTCATTTGTATGGTTTATTTAGCAATGTCCTTTTTGTGTAGACACAAGAAGACAATTGATGCTATGCGATGCAACATGGGAGTTAACTGACTCCAAAATAATATTTAGTCCTGGGCATCTGTATTTACTTTACTTAAGCCTCAGTTGCCCTTAGCTCCTAGTATTCCAAGAGCAGGGTCCCGACAAGGGACTGATGGACCCAGGGCAAGCTGGGAGCTACGATGGTATTGAAATGGACCAGGCCAAGCGCCGTAATACTTAACTATTAGTTAAGAGCCGGGTCATGGACAAACTCTGTCATGACCCAAAAGAGGTAACTGAATAAGGACCCTACTGGGGTTAGGAAGACCAACCTGGTCTGAGGACTGTGTTCTGGAATATAAAGTGAGATGTCCTCAGGAAGAACCAAACTTTAAGCTTGATTTATCTCTTACTGTGCTCATATAAAATGACATTGCCAGAAATATTAGAAATAAATTTACTACAACTATTTAAATGGATTACTAGCTGAGGAAAGAAGAAAGCAACACACACCGAACGAAATCCTGTCCTTGAGCGGATCTCCTAGTAATCTGGAAGAATCTCTTCAATGAGATTTTGTCCTTGAGTTGGTCTCCTAGATGAGTGGCCTTACTTCTCTTTGCTGATTTGTTAATGTTCAACCCCATCTTTGTATCCTCATCTTACATGATTTCAATATAAACTATGCTGTAAGGGGCTGGGGTAGTCAGGTGGTCAGAAGAAGAGAGGCAGAAGACAGAGGACTTAAGGGAAGAGCGCAACGGTCAGAGAGAGACAACGGCAGGAGATAAAGACAGAGCTATGGAGACAGAGCATAGAGACAGAGAAGAAGAGACGAGAGACTGGAGCAGGTGACAACAGTAGCAGACTAGAGACCACGAGACGGGGAGGAGACATTACAAGGTTACAAGGTTATGAAGTCAGTCAAATCACTTCAGTCCGAAGGAAGGTCGACATGGACAGACAACAGAGACAGCAAAAAGCACAACGGCACACACAGAAGCAGAGCATGAAGGATGAAGATAGAGAGCACAGCTACGAAGAGAAGACAGGACGACGAGGAGGAAAACTGACGCTTGGGAGACTTTGAGGTCCGCGAGGAGACTAGGATGATGGAACTCTGATGATGGAGACTATGGCCAAAACGTCAACTACAACTGTGTCATACTAGAGATCGGAGACCCGCCAGCACCCATTCTCTGCCCGTCATCCCGGAAGAGCCTGGGGACACTGCCCCTGTCCTGTCTGCGCCTGGTCTGCAGATGAGCCTGCCTTTGCGACAGCTCACCAGTTCTCATTTCTTATGTATATCGCATGTTGAGTGAGACACAAAAAACTCAACAGTGTGTTACATGTATCTGATCTGGGCTCGACCTTCGGCACACATATGGTTCCCCAAGCACCACCAGGAGTGATCCCTGACACAGAGCCAGGAGTAAGTCCTGAGCACAACCACGTGTGGCCCCAAAACCAAAACCAAAAGCACAAGTAAGATTTGAATGAGAAAACGCACTTTGGACCACCAATCCTGGTTAACTTTAACTACAGGCATTGCACCACCAATCCTGGTTAACTTTAAGCATACTCTAAGCATTCCTCAAGCTCGGGTGGTATCCTTAACACTGCATGATCCCCAAGCATGGAGGCAGAGGTGGAAGAAGCCTCTGAGAGTCCCCCCCCCCCCTCCCCAAGTATAGCCCCCAAAGGAAATATCCAACAAATCCAAAATATGATGGGGCTGATATTATAGAATGAAACTGCAAAGTCTTGCAAAAGAAAAAAGCATACCAGATGAAAAGCAAGATATTGTAAAATAACCAAAGCACACACGGTCTTGACAAAAGAAAGGTATGAGATTAAAAAAAAAAAAACAGTCAACTGGGAAATAAAGATGTGCCTTTCCAAAGAAGTCATCTCTTGACACTCAAATACTTTCATCAAACAATCAATAACTTTTCCCAAGTCCACTGACAAAAAAACCCTTCCTGAATGGGGCTAACAAACTTGATGTGAAGGTCACTGCATTCAACTTTATTTGGGGGGGGGGGGAAGGTGCACACTAGGTAATGCTCAGGGTTTACTCCTGGCTCTGTGCTCAGGGAATCACTCCTGGTGGGAGTTCGAACACGTGGGATGCTGGGGATTAAAGTCCCAGACAGCCGAGTGCCAGGCAAGAGCCCCTGCATCTCAGTTTCACGTTATCTTGTTGGAAAGGATACACAAATCAAGAGGCACATTCATTTTCATTCTTTAAGTCAATGCAGCAATTATAATAAAGTGGGAGAGAAAATACTAATTATCCTTCTAGGCTGTTTCCAGATGCAAGTTCCAAGCAAGCCTTCTCGCTGCCCCCACTCACTATTACTCTGTGACCAACTTCTCCCTAAACAGGTCCCGCTTACCACAGGAGCACGAAGCAGGTCCCCGGTAAATGTGCATCCGGCCAACCACTACGGCAAGACCAGGACAAGGGGCACCTTCCCAGGCCTGTGGTGGAGGGATGCTGGCACTGGGGGTGCCGAGGGGAATAAGCACACTCGTGTGACTCACGGCACTCCCAACTAGAAGGATACTCATGCATTTCACACTTCCCTGGTGCCTTAACCCAGCCAGGGGGACTGTCCGGCTGAGGATCCCACAGAACCCGGGGGGGGCTGGGAGACACTGGCTCCAGAAATGGCTGTACTTCTTGGTCACAATCCCCGCAAGTCTAACGACTAAGACTCAACTCGCAAGGGTGCTGGGGGGGGGGGGGGGTGGAGGGGATTACAAACAAAACGTTGATACCCTCCCTCCTCCAGCAGCCAGGCTCGTGGGGGGGAGGGGGGAGGCAGGACTCTGGGCTCATGTAGGTCGTGTGTATGTACGCACGCGCGTATGTGTCCCAGGAGAGCATGCGGCCGCGGGGGCTAGAGAGCTCTGGGGTTGGATGTGTGTGTCAGGTGTGTGTGTGTGTGTGTGTGTGTCAGGTGTGTGTGTGTGTGTGTGTGTGTGTCTGTGTCCCAGAAAAGTGCATGCAGACCCAGGGGCTCAGAGAGCTCCAGAGTCAGGTGTGGTGTGTGTGTGTTATCAGAAGTATGTGTATGTGCTGGGTGTGTCATTTATGTGTATGTATCTGGTGTGGGTGTACCTGGGGGTGTGTGTCGGTGTGTGTGTGTCATTTGTGTGTACCTGGGGTGTGTATTATCGGGAGTGTGTCGTGTGTGTGTGTACCAGGGGTATGTGTATACTGGGGGGGGGGGGGGGGTATCGTCTGTGTATGTGTATCGGGTGTGTATGTGTGTGCTGTTTGTATGTACCTGGGGTGTGTGTATCAGGGGGGTGTGTGTGTGTCATTTGTGTGTGTGTACCTGGGGTATGTGTGCATCAGGGGTGTGGTATGTGTAGTTTGTGTGCCGAGGGGGGGGGGCGTATGGGGGTGACAGAGTGTGTTTGTGTGTGTATACCTGGGGTGTGTGTGGGTGTCAGGTGTGTGTATGGGAAGGTGTCATTTGTGTGTGTGTGTACCTGGGTGTGTATGTCAGATGTGTGTGTATTGGGGGAGGTTTCATTTGTGTGTGTGTACCAGGGGTATGTGTGTATCGAGGGTGTGCGTGTTGATTGTGTGTGAGTATCAGGTGTGTATGTGGGTGTTGTTTGTGTGTACCTGGGGTGTGTGCGTCATTTGGGTGTGGGGGGTAGGGTGTGTATGGGGGATCGGGGTGTATCATTTGTGTGTACCTGGGGTGTATGTGTGTCGGGGGGTGTGTGTGCATGTGGGGGGCAGGGTGTGTCGTTTGTGTGTGTGTACCTGGGTGTGTATAGATGTGTGTGTGTCGGGTGTGTGTGTATGGGGGGGGTGTTGTGTGTGTGTGTACCAGGGGTATGTGTGTATCGAGGGTGTGCGTGTGTGTCATTTGTGTGTGGGTATCGGGTGTGTATGTGTGTGCCGTTTGTGTGTACCTGGGGTGTGTGTGCGTATCAGGGAGTGTGTCATTTGTGTTTGGGGGGTTTGTGTCAGGTGTGTGTGTATGGCGGGGATCGGGGTGTATCATTTGTGTGTACCTGGGAGGGTGTGTGTCAGGTGCGTGCCTGTGTGTGTGGGGGGGAGCGGGGTGTGTCGTTTGTGTGTGCGTACCTGGGTGTGTGTCGGGTGTGTATGGGGGAGGGGTGTCGTTTGTGTGCGTGTGTGTGTGTGTCCGTGCCTGTGTCCCAGGAGCCGCGCGCGGACCCGGGGGCTTGAGCACGGGGTCCCGACTGACCCCGCGTCGCGGTTCCCCACGACCCTCGCCCCGCGGGATCCCCTCGCTCCCTCCGGCCTCCGGGACCCCGGCCCCGCCCGCCGGCTGGGGGGGGTGGGGGGGGGCGCGGCCCTCGGCCCGTGAGGAGGGGGGGGGCTCGGCCCACCCGGAAGCGGCGGGCCCGGCCCCGCCCCCGGCCCGCCCGCGCGGCGCCGCCCACCCCGCCCGGCCGCAGGGCGCGGCCCGCACCCCCCACTCCCGGGCTCGGGGGGCGCCTACCTGCAGGTTGGACGACGTGGCGGCCATGGCGGAGGCAGCTCGGCGGCGCGTCCCGGGGGCAGGGACGGCGCGCGCGGCGGCCGAGGGCGGCGGCGGCGACGCCGGCCGGGCGGCCCCCAACCAACCGAGTGCAGGCGCGGCGGCGCTCGAACCCCGACGGCCGCCTCCCTCCGGACGCAGCCCGGCCCGGACTGCACCGCTCCGCGCGCCGACGCAGGCCCGACCCGCCTCTCGAAACTTCCGCAATCGCCAGCCCCCCCACCCCTCAGGCCTCTCGGGGTTCTCGTCCCGCCTCGGGCCCAGGCACTTCCGCCTTCGTCATCAGCACGCGCGCTCTCCGGTCTCTGGGGCGGCCCGCCCCAGCGCCGCCAGGCCGGAAGTGACGAGCCCGGAACGGGGGCGCCGGAAGTCGCGGTGGACGCAGGCGCCCTGAGGCTCCGGCGAGGGCTGGGCTCAAGGGCTGGCTCCGTTTCTCCGCTCATTCGTTGATGGCAGGCTTAAGACCAGCGCTCCTTCCCCCTCTCTCTTCCGTAGTTAAACACGCAGAGGCGTGATTTAATCGTTTCCTACGCACTGCATCATTTCCAATCTTCCGGCATCTCCTAAAATTGAAAAATAGCCCCCGAATTAATATTGGCAACGCCCAACTTCTTGTACAGCAGCCCTAACGTTCTCGAATTCCCTCCATGTCGCCCCTTCGTATCCCAAGATCTTCCTGGAGTCTGATGTCCTGTCTCACCACCCATCTCAGCTGTTTCGATTTGGGGTTCAAGTAACAATAGATTAGAGAAGGGCTTCAAATCCGAATCTCCAGACCCACCTGCCTTCCGTCTAGCATGTGCACCTAAACTCCAGGGAGCTCCAAAATGTTCAGGCTTTTCCCATAAGACAAAACAGACATGTTGAAAACCAAGTCTTTTTGCTCTACCCTAAACTTCCTTCTCTCGTCTCCTCAATGGCACCGCTAAATCAAAGCTCAAAGTCTTTCCCTATATCTCCTAAGCAAATATTATACGGGCTCCAGTCCTTCATATACAAAAGAGACAAAATATATTAAGCTGTTTGACTGTGCAACTTAAAATAAATCACAGAAACCTTATCAGGTAAACTAGATTTTGCCAGAAAATACAACCAGACTCCTGTTCAACTCCTTTTTGTAAACAGTTACCAATCAATCTTGAAGTTGGGTAATACATGATTTTTCACATTTAAGAATTAGATGAAACAGATACAAATCCGGGAAATTCTTCGAGTAGTTATTAGCACCTTGTGCCAGGCTAGGTTTGATGTTGCATATGAAGTAGTCAAAAATCCATCTTCTCATCGTTATGAATAAGTCATGTTCATATGCAGTGAAAAAGAGTGAAGGAGTGCACTAAAAAATTAAGGAGTGCACCAAAAAAATCCATAGACTAATCTGTTGGGAAAACACCAGAAAAATCACAAATTGAATATTTTTCTACTTTTGTAAAATGTTTAACCAGTGCCGTTCAGAAGTTAATAAAATCCAAATAAAGTTCACTGGTATTAGTATATCGTTATTAATTTCTTCATTTTGACAAACATACCATGGGTTATTTTAAAATGATGGCAATAAGGGAAGTTGGGCAAAAAAGCATATTAAAATTTCCATATTTGTTTGTAATTCTCTATACATATTAAAATACAAAGTATTTAATCTTTGGAGGGAAGCGGGGAGATTCTTGTTCTTCAGGAGCCTGCATTCTACTGGAATAGAAATTTCCCCCAAATGCTCTCATATTACGGTCTTTTAACAAAATTCTTAATTCTGTAAATTACATATAAAGTGGGCTGGAGCAATAGTACAGTGGGTAGGGTTGCACGCGGCCGACCTGGGTTTGATTCCACTGCCCCTGTCAGAGAGCCCGGCAAGCTACAGAGAGTATCCCTGCCACACGGCAAAGCCTGGCAAGCTACCTGTGGCGTATTCTATATGCCAAAAACCATTAACAAAAAGTCTTACAATGGAGACGTTACTGGTGCCCACTCGAGCAAATCGATGAACAAAGGGACAGCAGTGCTACAGTGCTACATATAAAACATCCCATATTTACAAATAGGAAACCTTAGAGAGGTAGAAGTTCCTTGGCCAATACAGCTCTTAAATCACAGAGCTGGAGTTTGAACCCAAGTCTTCTGACTCCAATTCCAATATGAGAAAACAGTGACTTATGCTAGAGTAGTGGCAGCTTGTCTCATGGGAACACTGAAGAGGGAAAACTTGAGCTGTAACAAATGGTTAGGTGCTTAGGAAAGGTATTAGTCAAACTGAGGTGTAAAATTCTAAATGAATTCTGTCAGATGCTAGCTCATCTCTGGTAGAGAAAATACATGAATAAATCATGGATGAGTCAAATACCTGACAAGTGTGAGGGCTGGCTGGAATGTAGAGGAGCTTTGGGGAAGGAATGGCAAGAGAAGGAACTAAAATGTATGCAGGAACACTACCAGACTCATCAAGCCTGGAAACATAACTCTGTTCCATATGAAATTAAGCGTTCATAGAAAGATTTGCCCCTTCCCTCTCTCTCCCTTCCATGCCTCCCTTTCTTTCCTTTGGGTTAGAACAAAATATAAAACATAGTAAAGTCCATCCTGATTTGGTCAGGTACTGGCCCTATGAAGCTGGATCTCCCTGTTGTTTGTAGACAGGACCAGGATGAAAGATCAAGCAATAATGTCAAGAAGGTCACTGTTGAATCAAAGTTTTGATTCAGAAAGTCAGATGTACCAACAATACACTTCCCTCTATCCTCCCGCTCTCAATAGCTTTCACCAAGTCATGCTATTAAAATCATTCTAGTTTTCCAAGTTTCAGGTCCCAAGAAACTTCTTTTGGTCTGTCATAACACTCTGCACTGTTAGTTCTCCTGAGGTCATGCATGCAGAGTGCCCAAGAGGGCAAAGCAGATCCTCAATAAATGTAAGTTTCACCTGCATTGTGTTCTTCCTTTCTATACTGTAAAGTCACTAAAGACAGAGGGTTTTTATTACTTACTTTTTGTAATTTCCTTCACTCCTACTCCTCACTTACAAAGGCAGATTACAAACAAACAAACACTTTCCTCCCGTTGTTCATCGATTTGCTCGAGCGGGCCCAGTAACGTCTCCATTGTGAGACTTCTTGTTACTGTGTTTGGCATATTGAATACTCTCAGTAGCTTGCCAGGCTCTTCGAGAGTGGCGGAGGAATCGAACCCGGCTCAGTCGGGCTGACTGTGCGCAAGGCAAAGGCCCTACCGCTGTGCTATCACTCCAGCCATACAAAGGCAGATTATGTGCCTAATATCCAACATGTGTTGAACAAAATGAAGCCTTCCTGTTCATATTCAAGGACTTGAAGATCAGAGAGGCAATTGGTTACTATGTAGTACCTGTCGTTTCAACAATCAGCAAAGTCCAGGATGAAATCCATCTCCCTGAGACAATTAAATTAACTAATTGTTTTGGAGAATACATTTGGCAGTATTCAGGGGTTATTCTTAGCTCTGCACTCAGGAATCACTCCTGGCAGTCTCAGGATACCATATGGGATGCCGAGAATAGAACCTGAGTCACCCTGTGCAAGGCAAGTACCCTACCCGCTGTACTATCACTCTGACCCCTCTTAGATCATTTTAAAGGAAATTCATAACCAATTCCTCACAGTGTACCCTACACAGGCACCCAGAGCTCAGGACTCTACATGTTGGGTTGCCTGCCACTCCTTGACCTGAAACATAACTGGAAGAAGGCGAAGCCCTGACAGGTCTCATCATGTGAGAGAGGTGACTCAGGCAGATTTCAGGAGGAAACCTGTTGGCCATGTCAGGAGCATACCTTTCTGATTATGCTCTGAGATCCAGGAGTCCCATCCCCATTTTAATTATTCCTATTCATTTTATCCCTATGGAGCAATCTAGGGCTTCTGGACTGATAAGTGAGCTTGGGAAGCAAGTCATCACCATTAGTCAGTCATGTGACCAAAGCCGTCTCAACCAAAGCAACTAGTCATCACTGCTGACTGTCTATGGAATACAATGATGTCAGTCCTGGGCGCAGAAGAAGAGAGAAGTTACCTGCTCTAGGAAGTTTGCAAGGTCACACCGACATCTCCAAAACTGGATACTTGGAACACTGAAAGTGCACTTACAAAGAAATGGTTTCAAATGACATAATACAAAAGTGTTTGGATCTCAAAAGTGTTCGCCAACTGGAGCAGACTCACTAATGATACAGCCATGATAGATTTTTCTGGAAAGAATCCACAGTGACACAAGAAGATCATATGACAACTGCCAGCATACAATGGTAGAGACATGAACCTCGTGGAGAGGCTCCGCAGGTTAGCAAAAGGCTGTGACTAAGACCCATAGCCTTTGTCCCTGGGGAAGGAACGTTTCCTCAGAGGGACATTTTTTGCTAGCTTCAAGCAAAACCTGAATAAGGCTTCAGAACCATAGGCAAAGCTGTTGGAGGCATATAAAGTTGGCTTATTTACACATGGTTTTATGCAGCTTCTCAAAACTGAGGATAGTTGCAGCCACCTCTTAGAGGTCAAGAGGGGTGCTGCCAGTTAGCCATGTTTTTTAAATAGTTATCACTATTTTTATTATTTTTTAAAATTAATTTACAACATAAGTCGCTCTCAATTTCTCAGCATCTTCATGTCAGGGATTTTATAATGTCAATGCACATAATATTTTCCTCAATCATGACCATCACAATAAAAATTCATATATGAAACTTATGTTTTCCCACCAAAGTCTGGTTTACTCTTGCCTTTCTGGATGGCTTTCTCCAAGAACGCCTCCCTTCACTATTACGTTAGATTTGCTATTGGGGAGTTTATGGCTGATAGTTCTCTGCTTGAAACAGGTAAGAAGATATTTGGTCTCTCAAAACTCCCTTCGCCCCTCTTATGGTATTAAGTCTGAGCTTCTTTTTTATTCATTTTGCTTCTGTCAAAGTCTTCAGCAGAATTGATTCCAATTAACTTGTCTTCACCAAGTATTTGTGTTATAGAAGAAATAATATTCATTCGTTGATCATTTGATTTCTATTGATACTAGAAATGAGTATTTTCTGTATGTTTAAATTTCACCATGTAAGAGGTTTTTGTTTTGTTTTAGTTTGGTTTTGGGACATACTCAAAAGTTTTCAGGGCTTTAGGTTCAAGGGTCACTCCCAGTGAGGCTCAGGGTATATTCTATGGTGCAGGGGATGCAACCTG